TCATTCTTCTTTATAGCTGAAAAAAATTCACTTGTGTATTTATAGCACTTTTTGTTTTGATTTCAATTTTGTAGCTTGGACTAGCCTCAAACTCACTCGTAGCCGAGGCTAGCCTTGGACACCTGTTACTTCTGCCTCCCTCTCCCAAGTGCAGGGATTATAGATGTGTGCCATCACACCTGGGTTATTACTTATTTTAATGTATATCTAAGTATGTATCTATATGTGTTTTGAACATGGAGAGTAATTCTTCATTAGACATTCATTCATTGATAAAGCCAATTGTTTTAAAGTTATAGTTGTCATTTTAAGTGCTTTCTGACTAGTTTTTTAATTTTTTTCCTTTATTCTTGAGAATTTCATATGTGAGTATAATGAAATATGATCCCTCACCCAATCATGTTTTAAAAAATAACCTACTAAATCCATTTAGTGGTGCCCATATGTATTTGGATGTGGGGCTCTCTACAAGAGCATGAGAATCCTACAGTGGTCATTTCCTCCCCTCAAAAAGAGAACTTTTGTTTGTTTTTTAATTAGCCATAGACCATTTCACTTAGTTATACTGTTTCACAGTATATGTCCAATTAAGACTCACATTATATGCCAATTAATCCCCTGTCCCTAATGCAACATTGCAAACACCACTCTTCAGTTTTTTCAATCTGCCAGTGGTCCATCATTACTTTTACCATCCTATAAGCAGTTGATATTGGTTTTATTTTAACAGTTTTTTATATTCAACTGTGACATTTACTCAGTTGACATTCAATCTTTTTATAAATCAAAATCAGAGGACATTTTGTTTGTAATCGTATTTTTAAATTTCTTTTATTTTTTGAGATTATAATTGCATCATTTCTCCCTTTCCTTTCCTCTTGCCAAAGCTTCCCACATATCCCTCCTTGTTCACTTTCAAACTCATGGCCTCTTTTTTTCCCATTAATTGTAACATACATATATGTATGTGTGTACATATATGTGTATGTGTTCATAAGCTAACCTTCTCAGTCTGTATAATGTTACTTGTATGTATGTTTCCGGAGCTGACTATTTGGTATTGGATAACCAATTGGTGTGTTCTTCTGTGGATAAGACGATTTCTCCCACTCTCAATGTTTCTTAGTTGCCTGTAGTTCTTTATGAGGGCTTGTGGTTTTTCTCCATTCACTTAGTATGTCTATTGTTGTCCTTGTTCACCCTGTTTAGGCAGACATGATGGTGAGACTTTATGGGTGGAGCTTCTGACATTCTTAGGAGAAACAGCCTCATAGCAAACTTTCTAATCCTCTGACTCTCATGGTCTTTCCACCCCCTCTTGGGAACTGTGCTGTTATTTGCCAACTTTTTGAATACAAATGCTTGAGAGCAATATTTGTGATTTAGATCTCTATTCTGATTTTTCACAGTAGAAATAGTAGGCAACTTAATGATTGTTCAGCTTACATTTTTCAACTCTGTAATGGTGTGAAAGTACAGCCACCCAGCCATTCTATTTTTCACTGTCAGCACAATATTTTAAAAACGACATGAGATACTCAACATCTTACTGTAGAATAGGCATTGACTGTTGTGTAAGCTGATGTAGGTATTCTATGGGCTAGGTCCTTTTCAATTTACATTGGTTTTTATCAGGATGTGACCTGGATCAAAGGTCAAGGAGCATCTGTGCTTGGGGGCTTGAATTCATGATAAGTAGCTTCCGTATTTTCTCTTGATCTTTGTGTGTGTGTGTGTGTGTGTGTGTGTGTGTGTGTGTGTGTGTATAAATGGAAAACAACCTTCGGAGTTATTTTTCTGTCTTGAAAGTATTGAAAAAGTGATTCTTTGTACAGGTGGAAGTGTTTCCCTACAAGAAGAATCAATAATAGAAAAAGGGAAGAAATTCCGGCCTAGAACCCTAAGTGAAATCATGGTAGGAAATCAAATCGAGAAAATAAAGAATGTTATACAAAAAGCTGAACGGGCCCAAAATAAGATTCTGCAGCGGAAAAAGGAGTGGGATGAACTGTGAGTCATGTTTAACCTATAATCTTACACTTCTAATATATGGTCCACAAATGTAACTTTATAAATTTTACCTTTGTTGACACAGTCATTACTTAGCATGAAGAAGTGAAAAAATACAAATAGGATGTCTGAGATGTGAAGGAGCATCGGCATCACTCTGAAGTGGTTTCTGCTTCACTGGCATTCCTTATAATCTTTAGTTTCTGTTTCCAAAAGCCTCTTTTGCTAATATCCTCAGAATGACTTTTAAGGGTTAATAAACTATTTTCTGTCACACTATCATAAAGAATGTGATGCCAGCTGTACCCAGATATAAGACTGGCGGGTCATATAATAGTTTGTAGTTTTCATTTTCTTGCGGGACTTTTCTTCTGTGTTCTCTAATGGTGGTACTATTCTGCTGTGGAACTGTCTTTCTGGATGCTGTGAATATATGTTGTTCCCATCAGTTAATAAATACATCTGCTTTGGCCTATGGTAAGGCAGGATAGAGCCAGGTGGGAAATCCAAGCAGAGAGACAAGGAGAAGGGCGGAGTCAGGGCAGACGCCATCCAGCCGCCCAAGGAACAAGATGCCAGCAGACCGGTAATGCCACGGCTCTGTGGCAATGCATAAATTAATTGAAATGAGTTGATTTCAGACGAAAGAGCTAGCTAGCAATAAGCCTAAGTCATTAGACCCAATAGTTTGTAATTAATATTAAGCCTCTGAATGATTATTTTGTAAAAACAGCTGCTGCCCTGGCAGGACCAGGCAGGACTGAGAAACTTCTGTCTACACTATTCTTTTATTAAACTAATACTGCATAAGAGCTCTCATTTCTCTGCATGTCTCCAATGCTTTGCTCTTTGGTACTTTGCTCATAGTCACCCTTAAGGCTGTGAAGTGAACATCTTGTTGTGGTTTGGATTTATATTTTGCCAGTGGCTAGTAATGTTGAACTTTGTTGTTGTTTTTTGAGACTCTCTCTACATAGCCCTGGTTGTCTTGGAACTCACTACGTAGACCAAGCTAGCCTCAAACTCACAGGGACCCATTTGCCTCTGCTTCCTGAGTGCTAGGATTAAAGGCGTGAACCTCTACACCTGGTGACTTCTTTGCTTTTTTTTAAACATGCCCGTTGGGCATTTGCGTGTCTTCCGAGGAGAAGCGTCTCTTCAACTTCTTGCCCATTTTTGAACCGGCTTATTTAATCGATTTTAATATCACACCAAGTTAAGTTCAACTGCATATGAAAACTCTACTTTTAAGTTGTACTTATTTAAGTGTGTACGTCTGTGTATGTGCATGTATGTTTGTAGTGCACATGCCCGTGTGCTTGTGGAGGCTGGAAGAGAGTGTTGGATCCCTTGGGGCTAGAGTGACAGGCATTTGTGGGACACCTGCCTGGTCACATGGGTGCTGGGATATGAATTCTGCTTGTGATGTGCAGCAGGTACTCATAACCATCTCTCCAGCCACCTATGATTTACTCTTAGAATTCCCCCATAGTTTATATTACTATTGTCACCATTTAAATTTACTTAAATATTATGTATCTTTAACATTCTAAGTTACTGTTATTTTTGAGAGTCATCTTTAAGTTTTACTTTCTCCCCATTATTAGAGTGATTAGAGTACTAGTGCATATACTAATACATATTCCATAACACTAAAATTCATATATATATACATATATATATTTACCATTACAAATGCGTCCCATACTTCTTTGTACCATTATGTTTCTTCTCATTGTTCTTTATTTCAAATTGAAGTACTCCATTTGGCATTTCTTATACAATAGGTTGCTGTAGTGAGGAATTCCCTTGAGCTCTCTCTCTCCTCTCTTCTCTCTCTCTCTCTCTCTCTCTCTGTCTCTCTCCTCTCTTTCATTCTGAGATCCAAAGCTGGCAAGAGAGGTACCAAATATTTAGGAGGCTCTGGCGAACACAGCTCACTCCCCTCCCCCTCCAGCCCCCAAGGAGATTGTGGGAACTGGAATTTTTTCACCTCTTGAGTATGTGCTAGACAAAGGAAAGACTCCAAAGCCCAGGTCTCCATCCTCACTCTTCTGGCAGCTCCGGTTGTACGGTCTAGCCGCATGGGTGCTTCATGGCTCCGGGAAAGCGGCTCTCTGTGGAGCCCCTTAGCAAAGTAAGTGCAGACTAACCCCTTCTCTACCCTGGAAAGGGCTGGAAGCTAGGCCTTCAGTCATCGTCCTGGAGACTGACTCTGGTGAGGAGTCCGCTGTCACTTTCTTCTCTTCACTGACGCCAGTTTCGCATTTGCCTGCAGTGCAGGAGCCTTGGCTTATCAGCAGGGTTTCTGACTGAGGGAAACTGAAGTATTACTTACACAGCGTTACTGGGCCAAGAACTTTACATTCTGCCCTCTTGCTGACATCACTCTGCAATTTGATTCCGCCTTTGTAATGTTTTTGCTTTTTATTTCTTACTTTTGTTCACTTTATTGTCTGGAACATGTTATACTATGTTGCTTAAAAATATGGAAATAGACATTCTTATTTATTTCCAGTATTAGGGAGAACCACTTCATGATTTTAAATGCAAATTTTCATTAATTTGAATAAATTATTTTTCATTTATTCATTTATTCACTGGGTTTTGTTTGGGTCAGTCGGATCCTGATCCTGCTTCTTCTGTAATCTAGTGATTTCTTCCATGCTGAAAGTCAGGGGCTAAACATACTTCATCTTATTTCTCTGAGGAACCGGTTTCATAATTACCTATATTCTGTGTCTCTTGATGATGTTCATATGTCTGAATGGAGCTGTTTCATGTAGCTAGAGTTTTCCTGCTTTGCCCACAGTCAGGACAAATCTTTGTCACCCGCCAGTCCCACAGCCGCTCAGACCCAACCAAGTAAACACAGAGACTTATATTGCTTACAAACTGTATGGCTGTGGCAGGCTTCTTGCTAACTGTTCTTTTATCTTAAATTAATCATTTCCATAAATCTATACCTTGCCACATGGCTGGTGGCTTACCGGCGTCTTCACATGCTGCTGGTCATGGCGGCGGCTGCAGTGTCTCTCCGCCTCAGCCTTCCGCTTCCCAGAATTCTCCTCTCCTTGTCCCACCTACTTCCTGCCTGGCCACTGGCCAATCAGTGTTTTATTTATTGACCAATCAGAGCAATTTGACATACAGACCGTCCCACAGCAGTTTCATTTTTTTTTTTTTGGTTCAAATTTCTAGTTGCTTACATCATGAGCATGGTCATGGCCATGTTTTCTGTTCTCTGCCCCTCCTATTCTTTTTCCCCCTGTGACTGTTCCTCGCTTTAAAAACAACATATATATGTGTGTGTGTGTGTGTGTGTGTGTGTGTGTGTGTGTGTGTGTGTGTATATATATATATATATATATATGATTGTTAATGAATACATGGATTGAACAGGCTTCCTCTGCTAGTTTAAACCATGTCATCCCAAAGGGCTTTTCTCTTCAAAGAAAGTGCTGGCTGCAGGCCAAGAATACACACCTGTACCGGCTGGCACACTTCACTTTCAAGGATTGTCGGGGGGGGGGGGGGGGGGGGGGGGGGGGGAATGTTGAAAATTCCCAATTAAAGATCTTGCAATGGATACTCAATGATACCTTAGAGCTTCCTAAGCCAGGAGTTTAGTTTATTTCGAGAGAATTCTTCATTTCAGTCTTGGTATGAAAGCTGCCACTGATTAGTTTGTGTGGAGATGGGAAATCTGAGATGCATCCATTTACAGTCCATTAAGGAATTTTACCAAATAGGTCTAACATTCCATTTCACTCTCCACACCTGTTCCCTGGGGACTCGACCAAGAAAATAATGTCCAAAAATTTTTATAGAGTCCTCCAGAGGAGCACATCCCCCAGAATGAGGCATTCTGGGCTATAGATTTTTCTAGTCTTCTTTCCCTGCATTCCCAAACTGTATCAATATAACTGGTTTGCTAATAGTTTTTCTTTCTATTTTTATCTTCTCTGATGATTTGGCATTGCTTTTTGCACCTCCCTACAGTTGTGTGCATGGAATTCTGGGAGGAGGCAGCAAGTGCACATTTAGAGTTCGTTGTTACATTTTTGTCTAAGTTATCTATTTCTCCCATAGTTACAAGAGCAGGCCTGATGATGACTATGAAGACCCCAAAGATGTTCAAGCCATCAGAGAAGCCCAGATGTTCATGGGGGATTTCAATCTGAAGACAGCCCCAGACTACAAGATACCTGAGCACATGAGGATAAATGCTGCCAAGAAGGAGGAGGAACTGGGCAGCCTTGACACAATGGTACTTAACCTTCAGACTCCATGCCGATGAAAAGCACCCTGGTGTTAACTCGAGTCTGCTCAACCACCCATTTACCTCGTTGATCCACAAATATATATGAACATAGATATTTAGAGCTGAAAATTATTTTTAAAGGAGTCTAGATTACATCCTCTTTTTAAAAATGGCGAGACAGGGACCCAGAGAGGACAAGAGATCTGTCTATGAATGTATCGGCTCATATGGCAGAACCAGCCTTCCCATTAATTATATAGCTCGATAGCATTTTTATGGGGGAAAAGTACTGTACTGTCTCATGTACGTTGAACTTCTGAAATTTAGTGAGATCCTCAGTAGATTTGTTTTCTGGCTGTCACAGACTACTAGCCAGTTAGGAAGACTGTCATCATTTAATACTTTCTTTACAATACTTCCATCTTTTGTCAGAAGCTAAATATCAACCAAGTAACACATTCCTCTCTGAGTTTTCTGAAGTGTGGCTTATCACACTAGCTTTGATCCTCATGTTTCTTATTAAATGTTTCTTCTTCCTTGTTCATTCCATCATTTCTGAGGGATTCTAATTCCTCCAGCACCATTTCAACCAACAGATGGTGGATTCTTCACACTTATAGGCTCAGAAAGTATCCATTACTTTTTTATTTTAAAGGAGGATTAGCTACTTGGCCACCTACTGTGTTTGTACAGGCTACACAGTTCAGGGTGTCTACTGACAAGAGTGCCCGATCTACATCCCTTCCATAGCATGTTGAATGTTTTAGCTATTTCTGAGCAATAGAAGTAAAGTATACTGAAGAAGGTATGTCTTTTTCTTTTTCACAAGAGATGTTATTTATGCCAGTGGTATACATATCCTGGCATGCTAGTTAATATCCACAAATGAAAGACCACAGATCAAAGCTTTATCCTTCTGGTCACAATCAACATTTCAGACATCCTATTAGTGTCCATTTAGATTATTTTTCTAGCTATTTCTTCTGCCTAAGATAGCTTAGTATTATTTACTATTTACAGACATATATTCTATGAGCACATTATTTATTTTATGTGTAAGGGTGTTTTACCTGCATGTATGTCTGTGTACCATGTGCATGCATGGTGCCCACAGAAGCCAGATGAGGACATTGGATTTTCTGAAATCAGAGTTACAGATGGCTGTGAGGTGCTGTGTGGGTGCCAGAAATCAAACCTGGATCCTCTGTAGGAGCAGCTCATGCTCTTAACTGCTGAGCCATCTCTCCAGCCCTGACCAAACATTTTTTTTTAAAGAGACCTTTGTACCTTCTTTTAAAAAATTTATTTATTTTTATTTTCTATGTATGAGAGTTTTCCCTGAATGTATGTATGTGCACCGCATGCATGCCCAGGGCTTGTGGAAGCCAGAAGAGGATGTCAGATCCCCTGGAACTGGGGTTAGTGATGTTTGTGAGCCCTGTGTAGGTGCCGGGAACCAAACCTGGGCCCTTTGCAAGAGCAGCAAATGATGTTTGCTGCTGACCCATTTTTCTAGCCTTCAGACCCCAATACTTTTTGAGAGAGTTTCTCAGTGTAACAGTCCTGGCTGTCCTGGAACTCACTCTATAGACCAGACTGGTCTTGAACTCACAGAGATGAGATCCACCTCCCTCTACCTCGCAAGTGCTGGGATAAAAGGCATGTGCCACCACCACCTGGCTACAGTTTTTATTCTAAGTCCATCTGAGGTTGTTTAGCTATTGCCTGTATTTTCATATCTCATAATCTATATTTTATGCCTCTGTAACTTATTAGTCATCCAAGCCAGACTTCATCTCTCTCCTTCCTTCTTCTTTTCCTTCCCTCTTTATTTTGTTTTTTATTTTTTGCAGTGCTGGGAATCAAACTCGGTGCCTTACGTATGTCAGGCAACAACTTTGGCCCAGGCCGCTTGGCCTGAAATTCAGTCTCCATAGAGATAGGCCAGCTGTGGCATCCAGAATAAACTGAAGCTATATCATACTGAAATGCACTGATTTAAAACAGCCCCCATACAGCATCTCAGCACACTGTTCTGCACACCAGCAGGATGGAGACTATTTCTGCATTGCTGGTACTTACTAGCAGTGTGGATCTTGCTGTTCGTATAAATCTCCTAAGTCTGAATGATCTCATCTGTTAAGGGGTATTAATATCAAGTAATACAATATGATAATAACCTTATAGAGTTAATGGGATGTTCAGAATCAGTGAATAATTGTTGTCATGGTCAATGTAAGATCACTACAGTATTAAATGTTTTTATCACATATCTTCCATCCCTTCATGTATGTAATTGCATTGATTTTCAAGCTGATGAGATCTGGAACCAGTAGGAGACAAGCTTCTAGGTACATATTTCGAGATTATTTAGATTAGGTTGGCCTTGGGCCCGTGCTGTGATCATCTTGATGAACTGAGGTGAGAAAACCCATCCTAATAGTGGGCGGCACTATTCCCTCGGTTTGGGTTCCAGATTGACTGATCTCAAGCTTTCATTGTTTCCCCCTTTCCCGACAGTGGATACAACACGACTAACTACCCCAAGTTCCTGCTACCAAGACTTCCCAGCTAGGAAACAATGCAAACCTTGAAACAATACACACCTTTTTTTTTTTTCTCTTAAATTGCTTTTGTCAGATTATTTTATCCCAGCAACAAGAACAATCAGTTACTAGTACAGTTTCAATTTGTTATTTGTAGAACCGGAAACAAAGAGGGCTTGTCTTTCACTTCTGTTGCTATGGTGATGACCTGACAAAAAGCAGCTTGGGTGGCAAAGGGATCATTTCAGCCCATGATTCCATGTTATAGTCCATCAGAGCAGGCAAGTCAAGGCAGTGGGGACTCAAAGCAGCAATCACAGCAGGTCATCAGTCGAGAGCAACCCACGCCTGCTCACAACTCAGCTCATCTGTTCCATGCCTTCGCATTTGAAGGCCACAAACCAAGAAATGGTGTCACCCATTGGGCTGGTTCTCCTCACATCAATGAACATAAGCAAGACAAGCTTCCACAGACATGCCCACAGGCCAATGTGATCTAGATAGTCCAACACTGAGACTCTTTCCAGATGTTTCTAGAGTGTGTCGAGTTGACAAGACTATCACAGGGCTCCCCAAAGAAATGGGCTGTGTAGCCATTAGAGCGGTTATGTTTGTTCATGTATGTCTAATCCTCAGCCTTCTAGGAAGTACTTCAAAGGTGGTTCCACACATAGCTGATGCTGACTTTTCATTCTAAGTCTCAATTCTTTGTTAAAGACTTAATCTCAAGTAGATAAACATCTTGATCTTGTCTTAATAATATGTAGGTTCTTTAAAGTAAATATATAGGTATGTTTTATAAGATTACCTGACTAAGTGCTTTTGATCTTTTATTAAAAAACACTGTATTTCATGCAAAGCAATCCTTAGTCTGGCTAGCAGTCTCAGGAGGTGCTGTGCTCTCAGGTGCTGGGAGGTACTTTTAGGACAGAGGTAGTAATGAACAAGCCATGGACGTACGTAGTACATGTGCAGGTATGCTTTAACTCAGATAAATGGAGAAAGAACCACAGAAGGATCTCATGGGATGTTGTGATACTGATGTCTAGGATCATGACCACAAAGGAATCACAGGAAAGAATGTGGCCAAAATACAGAATGAAAACAGGATGACTTATAGTTAGGTCCTCGGTGGGTAGCTGTGGTGAATAAAAAAGTTCCAAATTTTCCTCTAGGAAAGGGAGTTAGTTAATGCCCTTTCTCTCCCATAACGGAGTGTCCAGCTAGGCACAAGGCT